TCTGCTGTCACTCTCAGACAATCTGCTCTGGCCATGGTCCACACCATGGGTCTCTGGGACCAAGGCCCCTATTTCTGGGTATGTATCACTCAGTCAGTCTGTGGCCTTGAGCTAGTGATACAATCTCTCTGAGCCCTGATTTGATCGTAAAATGGGGAGGGGGAAAATAGAGCCCCCTCTGAGGGGTTCGAGCAGAGCTGGGCACATGGGAGGTACCCAACTATTTTAGCTTCACTATCTCAGTTTCCCTAGAAGGACTGACCTGTATTCCCCTGCCTGGGGACTTGAAGTCATTACTCTCTGGGTGGCTTCGGCAGCCTGCCTTCCTGTTTTGAGCCTCACTTTCTGTAGCATGGACATCACTGTTGCTGCCCCCAGATGCTCATTGCAACCCCCAGGTGTTCTGGGGGTCCCCAGGAAGCTGTGCCCAGCAAACCCCAGCTCTTTTCTGCAGGTCTCCTTGGGGGTCATGTTGTGGTCATCTGGTAGCTTGTGTGGCCACACGGCCCAGGCAGGGTCAGGCAGCTCCGAGACCTCTGCTGGGCTCCAGGCGCTGTGCCTGACCTCTCCAGACCACACATTGGGAGCCCCTTGCCTCTCTTGGAACACTCAGCCTGTTGCTTGTCATTCACCTCCCCTAGCTTGAGAAGGGCCTGAATTTAGTCCTTGATATTAACTGAAACCCTTTTCTAGAATGCTCCTGGTTTCCATGGCTGATGCAAATAGCTGGGGCAGGGGGTGGCATCACCCTAGTCCTAACTCCCTATGGTGGTCAGTTCTCCCCAGCCATCGGCTGGGAGGACTGTGCCAGCTCAGGGAGGCTGACTTGAACCTCAGACCCAGTCACCACATTCAGACTCCCCGACTGGGAACTCCCCAAACACGTACAAGGATTCTTGTATCTGCTCCAGGACCTGCTGTCCTGACTTGACTTCTGGCTGGGACCCCCATGTGACCTTGGGGCCATCTTCAGGCCCTGTGAGCTTCATGTATCCTCGTCTGTCTGTTGGGAGCTGGGTAGTGCCAGCCAATTTCTGGGGAAGCCTGAGGCTCCATTCCTATCATTCCTGCCCCAGCTCTGCTCTCAATCTGTCCAAGGCTCCCCATTGCCCTCCCCATAAAACCAACTGTCCTCCAGACCCTGCCTACCTCCCAGTCTCATCTTCCCCACCATTCCTTTTTAGTTGTTTTTCTAGCCACATCAGCCTCCGTACCTCTGGGCCTTTGCACATGCTGTGTCTTGTATGGAGCACCTTTCCCCCCAGCCCTCCTCATGGCCAGCTCCTTCCTGACACCAGGTTCCAGCTCACATGTTGCCTCTATGGGGAGATTGCTCGTTACCCTTCACTGTCACCCTGGTCCCACCACCTCGTGTGCTGTGTCTCTGAGCTCTAAGCCTGTCTGAGGTCGCCTTGCTTGTGTGCTTTCCTGTTTGTCTGCTCCCTACTGCCCATGAGTTCCCTGTAGGCAAGCTCCTATTTTCCTGCTGTGTTCCAGCTTCCTGTAAGTGTTTTTGAATATACACCTAAATAATAAAGGGAGTGGTTTGGAGGGAAGGCCTCTGCCCCCACAGCTCCAGTGTTCTCCCCTGGGCTGGCCAGCCTTCCTCAAGCTGCAGGCCTCTTTGGGGAGGCATGGCTCTAGCTTATCAGTCCTTCACACCTTAGTCTGAGAAAACGGGCTTCGTCAGTGGGTGTGGCTCAGGGCCTGGTTGGAAGTCCCCAGGGTGGGTAGGCATATCACTGAGGTTGGGTTCCAGGCTCTGCTCTGCCACCTCAGGTGAACCTCAACCTCCTGTCCTGAAATGGGTTGAGTGTGTTGCTGCACAGGGCCACAGCTCCCAGCAAGGCACACAGCCCTTCTCTAAGGAGTGCTTGCCATCCTTGTTGATTGACATTGAAACCAGGGCTGAGGAGGAAACTACTGCAAGGGAGAGGCCAGTGTGTTCAGAAAATGACTCTACTGCTGTGTGATCTTGGATGAGTGGCCCAGCCTCTCTGAGCCTCTGGGAGGCTGAGTGAAACTGCCTTGAAACCAGTTGGGCTTGGCTGTCAACACTGCTACATTCAGCAGGTGTCCCTCCACCCAGGGGAAGACCCAGGGTCCCGGGTTATGAATTCATCTTTGAGAGGCAGGGCCTATGAATCCCATTTTCCAGATGAGAAATAGACTTATTGGCATTTGAGGGGCCACAGTGGGATGAGAACCCAGCTTGGCCTGCCTCTGCGCCTCTCCTCTTGCCAGTGTTGCTAACCTGACCTTGGGCAAATGGCTCTCTGGCCTCGGTTGATTAAACCCTGTCACTATGCCCAGGCCTGGCTCACAGCCATCTTGTCAGATGATTCCTGGGATCCCCGTGAGGTAGAGGAGACAGGAGGACAGAGAGACAGTGTCCTGCCCAGAGCCAGCCAGGCTGACACAGAAGAGTTAGGATCCCAGGCACCCTGGCCAGGCACAGCTGAAGTACCCATAGTGGGGGTGTCAGTTACTGATGCCAATGGCATCACTGGCCATTGTTGGAAGGCAGCAGGGAGGTTGACTGGCGCCAGCATGCTGACAAGCAAACAGAAGCAAGAGCCCAGGCAGTGCCTTTGGCACCCTCTGGAGAGGCAGCCTAGTGCTGGGCTGCTGCCTGACCCTTGTCTCAGTTGGCACTGTCCCTAGGGTACCATGGGACCTTCCAGGAGCTTGCTGCCTCCGTCTCAGGGCCTGACAGGTGGGTGCTGTGAGGAGGGACTCCTGTAGCATAAATATCTCCCTCTTTGGGTGGTAAACCCCACCCATAGTTGGTCTATGTCCACATTCCATGAAGTACTATTTACAGAAAGGGAAACAGGCCCCGAGAACAGTTTATCCATCACCAACACTCAGCAAGTGCTGGCTGTGGACCAACGAAGTTGTCAGCATTTTACTTCCATTCATTTTGTTAGGGCTGCCATTAACCCTGGGAGGTAGTTTGAGAAACTGAGGCAGAAAGTTTAAGTTACTTGCTGAAGGTCTGGCAGCCAGCAAGTAAAAAACAGGGACTCAAACCCAGCCTCAGGCCCTTTTGGCAAGGAACACTTGTAATGTGAGGATCAGTTTTCTCATCTGCAAAGTGGGTGCTGTCTCCCTTCCCCACTCCCACTCCCAACGATCTGGAAATCAGGTCAAGAGATGGTGTTTGGGAAGCACCCAGCCCAGTAAGGATCTGATTGATACCCATTAGGTGTTCAGTAGACCTCAGAGCCCTCCTTTTGTCCAGTGAGCAGAATGGAGACCAGGGTCTGGAAGTTGCTGGGAGTTATGGAGAAGGGCCCAGGTGGGAATATCATGGGTCAGATGGTGGCCTCAAGGCTAGTGACATCCACAGTGTGAGCCTTGGTGTTTTCTTCTTCCTCCCTACTGGGAGGCCTTTGAGCTGTTGTGGATGAAACACCTAGCAGGGAGCTTGCACAGTCCTGAAATGTGAACCCTTATTAAAGCCTAGCTCAGGTTTGCTCCTTCCCAGGATTCCTTGGTTATGAACTTGATCTCCACCAACCATAGCCTGCACCCAGAGGAAATAAGAGCCAGAATCTGGGAACATTTATAACCCTCTCCACTCTGGCCCTGGAGATTAAGGGAGTGCACTTTGTGAGTTAGAGAACTGGGTGAGCTTGGGGGAAGTGCCAGTGACACTGGAGCACTGGATGGCAGGTGTCTTCTCTAACTGCTGGGGTCAGTCTGCAAAGAATCCCACGAACCACACCTCACAAAGAGGCTGAGGCCCACAGGCCAGACAGACTTGCTGAGGGTCAAGTGCTTTCACCAGAAGGATGAGGTCAGGGCTGGGATAGAAGTTCTCACAGGGAGGCAACCCAAAAAAGGAAAGATCAGCGTGTAGGAATCATTGTCCTCTGAGGAAACAGATCCACAAGCACCTTGCCCAAGGTTGTGTAGTGGGCGGGTGGCTGGACATGGATTCGACCCAGACCGCTCAGGCCTGTGGTGGCTCTTCTCTGAAATTGACTTACCCCACTTCCAAAGAACAGGCTGCTTTAAATTCACCCCCAGATTTAACCACTTGAAGCGCTGTGGGCAAGGAACTTGACCTCTCTGTCAGTGGTCGCTTTGACCTCCTCGGATCTGGGTTAGTTTTCAGTTAATTCACAACAGGCTTATCTGGGAGAAGGCCCAATGGGAATGTCCTGAACTCAGAGAAGTCAAAGACTTCCAGAAAAACCACAAAGCTCGTGGGTAGGATTCCACCTGTCTCCATGTCTTCACAACAACCTGGAGCTGCAGGGGACGAACCTGAGTGACCTCAGAGAGTCTGCCCTCTCCATGTCTTTCTTTAGCAGGAAAATAACGGAGAGTGGGGGAATGGAGAATTATCCAGGAATCTTTCAGCTACGATGCCCCATGTTCACAGCCAGAGTTGGAAGTCTTGTTTCTGTGCTCTGCGGTCAGAGGGCCAGCTTCTTTGACATAGCCTCAGGGGACCCTGCACGGGGCGTCCGAGGCCATCTATAGCAGCCACTTTCCGGACCAAACTCTGCACCTTGCACGCGCCAGCGGTCGGAGGTGCACCGCCCCTGCCCCTGCGACCGGCCTCTGGGCCTGCCCGTCTTCGGCTTCGTAGCCAATCCTCATCGCCCTTCAGGCTACGCCCTCCGTTCTTCTCGCGCCAGCCGCGCCAGCCACTTCGGAGCCCTGCCCTTGCCCCCCAGGGATTGGTCCTCAGGGCTGCTCATCCTCTTCCAGAGCTCCAATCGTCGCCTACCTCCAGGACCTCACCTCCCGGCACCTCGCACCCTGCGGGACCACCTCGGGGACCAAAAACCTAACCCAAGAGCCCGCCTCTCCCCGTCAGTAATTGGTTCTAAGCGCTGCCTGTCTGTTTTATGCTAACCAATCCCTGTCTTTCCAAATGCTGATTGGCCAATGCGCATCCAATCGGAGCGTGGCGTGGACCCCTCCCGCGGCGCGCGCTGGGGGTGCGCGAGGCGGGGCCGTGGTGGCCGGAGGCGGCGGCGGCGGCGGCGGCAGTGAAAGCGACGCGTCCCAGCCGGTGAGGGGGAGTAGGGGGAGAGGGGAACGCGGGGGGGCGCAGTCGTCAGAGGGTCCGCTCCCCTTGGGCCGAGCCAGGGCGAGGCACGGTCCTGTCATGGATCCTGGGGCGGGGGCGGACGAGGCAGGGCGTGACAGCAGCGTCGCAGGGGCAGGGAGAGGTTAAAGCCCCCCCCATACACCCTGCATCCGGTGCTCCCTGGGAGGGCCTCCCAGCCGAATCTGAAGCCTCATGGTCAGTCTGCGCACACCTGACACCACGTCCCTTCTTGGTTGACACCCCCCCCCCATACACCTGAGACTACCCACCTCGCTGACCCCCACACCTCTAGGGCCATGTCTCCAGGAGCTCGGCACAGTTGATTCTTCACACCCACACGCACCTGAGACTGTACCCCCACTGATATGCTCTCACACACGCCTGACACTGCACACCCTCATATCACCTAAGATCCTCTCTCTTGATGACATCTCCACACCCAGATCCATGCACCCCCCACCTCTGCAACAGGGCCTGCACCCCTATACCCACGACTAAACGTGTGATCCTAAGCTTATGGCCCCACACTCACACCTTTGTCCGGTCATATCCCCTCACTGACTTTGCTCACATCCAGGTCTGTGCCCCTCTCACTTGCCCCCTCCCTTCAGCAACTTAGGTCAGCGTCCTCAGGTACTCTCCCCCACCCCTCCACCTGCCCTGTGCCTTTACAGTCCCTCTCTCCATCACGCACCCTCAGTCTTTGTGCCCACCCGTACCTTCTTACAGGTGCACCCATGTTTGTGTCCCTTTCTGTAATCATTGAACCCTTCCCCCACCCTAGGTCCTCTACCCTCCCCCACCCAAAAGAAAAGCCCACCCAGATGTTATATTTTCATTTATTTATGACAGTCTATAAAGTAATTTCTAGGCTTAGACTAATTCCTTTGGCCAGACGAAACCAGAATTATCTCCATTTTACCAGCAACAAACCTAAAGGGACTTCAGTTGGGGAGGCGGGGTTCATCCCTCCCTGACCATGGCTGACTCTTCTCTGTAGACCTTCCCCATTTTTGCCCATCTGCTGTGCTTATCTCCAAGGGGTTGGCAGGGGAAGGGACCCCCACCTTCCCTGCAGCTGTTCTTCAGGAGTCATGACTTTGAGTCCGGAAAGACTGAGCTGGAAGGGGCGGCCCCTGATTGCAGCACGTGTCTCCCGGTCGTGGGGCTGGGTGGGGGTGGGGCACTGCAGGGGCGGGACTTCAACACCTGGGGTGCCGCCAGAGGCCAGGTCGCCTGGGAGGGAGCTGCTGGCCTCCCGCCTCTGGCTCCAGCTCTTGCAGACTGAAGCCCCTCACTGATCCTCAAGAACTCCTTGGGCCCTCACAGCTGATAAACCTAGAGAGTAAGGAAACATTCTTGAGAGTGAGGCGAGCTAATGTTACAGCCACTTGGAGCCAAACTAAAACTGGAGCCTGGTGTGGTGCTGGGAATAATGATTTTTTCTGGAACTTTTCAAGTTCCTTGGAGTGTCATTTGCAAGTGTGCAGCATAGAAGGAGAGGGTGGCTTTGCTGTTGAAAAGTAGTAGTGTGGTGTGGTTTCCTGTAAGGTTTGCATAGTGCCTCTTAGCCCCCTTCTGCTTCTCCCTGCAAAGATGGTGCCAGAATATTCCGGAGGGTCATGTCACCTTCAGCTTCTCCTGGAGAAACTGAACCCATTGAGGTTTTCTGTCCAAATTCAAAAGGAGTCATTTAAAACCTGTGTGTTTACGTATGTGTACGTATATGCATATACATAGATGTATACGTGTATATACATCACACTCATCTATGTGTAGACACACATTTTATAAATACAGATGTATACATGTTTCTTTTATATACATATGCAACTCTATAAACTTTGACAAGGTAATTGATGTACATGGAAAAACAAAACAAAAGTCCAAAAAGGGCATACAGTGAAAATTAAGCAGATCTCCCACTGTCTGCACTCTGCCTTTCTGTAGGCATCCATTATTAATTAGCCCCGTTTCCTTCCAGAGACAGTCTACAGCTTGGAGGGAGGGACGTATATCCCCCACCTCTTTGAAACCCCTGATACCTTTGCATGAGTTTTTTATCAAACAGGTGTGCCAGTTTAGTAGCCAGCCCCTCGCTGATGCCTGTTCAGGTTGCCACTCATAGTTTCTCTTGCAAACTGAGCTGCAATGAATAGATGGAACCGAGCATGAGCAAATATGGAATGAACATGTGTGGGGTTCCAGCACAGACCCTTGAAACCTCCCGGTCTCCCTGGAACTTTCTGGGAGTGGCCAGGCCAAAGGGCGTATCCATTTAAATGGTTAATGTTCCTCCAGAGGAGGCCGTGCTGCCATCAGTTGTGTCTCCTCCGTGAAGCTGGAATTCTTATTTTCTCTCCCAGCGGCCAGAACAGTTACTGTCCAGTGTTCTGGTCTCTCCAGTCTGATAGGTAAAGCACAGCCTACGAGATCCTTTTGAACCCCACTTCTGTGCTTTCTATCCATCTCTTCAGCGCTCTAGCCCTGGTGCTGGTGGTCAAACATCATGCTTCCACAGTTGGACTAAAGTTCAGTCCAAGAAATATTTGAGTCCCTCCTCTGTGGAGCTCTGGAGGAAACCTTGGAGTTTGGGGTGGGGGGGGTCCTTTCAAGTCAGAGACATGGGCGTTGGCCACAGTCCTGGGAAGGGGGGTCTTAAAATGTTGGCTGTTACTAAAAAATTTTTTCCAACTTGGATCCAGCAAAACCACTTGGGTGTCTGAGGAGACTGAGATAAGTCAGATGTTAAATCTTTTGGGGAAGCTGTCTTGAGATTCTCTTGAGTCGTCGGCTGTTGCCCGCTGTTGGTGCCAGGTGGAGGGCACCTTTTGACTGAGGCCAGCCCTTTTCCCCCCTGTCATCCTGGAGTTTTTTTTTTTGTGTGCTTCTGTTTTGAGCAATTAGGCAATACAGGAATACTGACATGATCATGACTTCCCGCTCAGTTGGGTTTTTGCAAACCAGCTCTTTTTAAAAACACACCATATTCTTTATTTTTATTGTGAAATAATAAAAAGCCCGTGAGGTGCAGATGAAAAAAAGATAAAAGATAATGAAGCTGACATTCAGCTCAAGAAGTAGAACATTGCCCCCGGCGGCCCCTCCCTCATCACTGCACTATTTTTAAAATATGCTTGTCAATGTTTGTTTTCTTCACTGAGTACCTTTTGCTGCAGCTGAGTGCTTAGATTCTAGGGTCTCAACAAAGATCTGCAGAACCCAAGTTTTCTTTGGAAGCTGTGTCAGTAGGGTGGTCTGAGAGGTCCACGGAGGGGAGCAGGGATCTCAGGTCCATGGGCAGGTCAGCAGCCAGCACCAGGAGCTTTGATCTTAGAAGACTCCTGTCTTGTTAGTGTCCTGGGCCTGCTGTAACAAATTACCACAAGCTGGGTGGCTTAAGACAAGAGAAAGTTATTCTGTCATAGTTGTGGAGATCAGAAGATCAAAATCAAGATGGTAGATGGAATGTTTCTGTCTCCTTAAAATTCATATTTTGATTTTTTTTAATGTTTATTTTTCAGCATGAGTTGGGGAAGGGCAGAGAGAGAGGGAGACACAGAATCCGAAACAGGGTCCAGGCTCTGAGCTGTCAGCACAGAGCCTGATGCAGGGCTTGAACTCACAAACTGCAGGATCATGACCTGAGCCGGAGTCAGATGCTTAACTGACTTTGCCACCCAAGAGCCCTAAAATTCCTATTTTGAAACTTAATCCCCAACTGTGATGGCATTAGGAGGTGGGGTCTTAAGGAGGTGATTAGGTTGTAAGGGTGAAGCCCTCACGCTTAACTGACTGAGCCACCCAGGTGCCCCATGGGTGAAGCCCTCATGAATGGGATTAATGCCCTTATAAAAGAGGCCCTGCCCCTTCTGTTTTGTGAGGCACAGCAATAAGTTAGCCATCTGTGAACCCGGAGAAGTGCTATCACCAGACACCCAGTCTGCTGGAACCTTGATCTTGGACTCTCCAGCCTCCAGAACTGTGAAAAATACATTTCTGTTGTCCATAAGCTGCCCAGTTTATGATCTTCTGTTACCAGCCCAAACAGACTAAGACAAGCAGGGTCAGTTCCTACTGGGGGATCCGAAGGGAGAATCTTACGGAGCCTCTCTCCTGGCTGTGGTAGTTGGTGGCAATGCTTGCGGCCATATCATCCCAATCTCTGCCTCCATCTCTACACAGCCTTCTTCCCTGTGTGTCTTCGTCGTCGTCTTCTTCTTCTTCTTCTTTTTAATGTTTACTTATTTTTGAGAGAGGGTGGAGAGAAAGCATGAGTCGGGAGGGGCAGAGAGAAAAGGAGACAGAATCCAAAGCAGGCTCTGGGCTCTGAGCTGTCAGCACAGAGCCCGATGTGGGGCTTGAACTCACAAACCTCAAGATCATGACCTGAGCCAAAGTCGCGCACTCAGTGACTGAGCCACCCAGATGCACCCTGCGTGTGTGTTTCTTACAAGGACACCCATGGATTTAGGGCCCACAATAAATTCAGTATGATTTCATCTCAATATCTTTAACCAACTTCACCTGCGGAGACCCTATTTCCAAATATGATCACCTTCTGAGGTTCTGGATGGACATGAACTTTAGGGGACACCACTTAATCCCTGTAGCTGCAAAACCAGAATTTCGTCAGAATGTTATTCTAGTGGCCTTTCCTGTTTCAGGCAGAAGGGGGCTGGGAGGGTGGGAGCACACGGCCCTTCACTCACCTGCCTCCCTGCTGGGAAGCTGAGGCATCTTCCCAGAGCTAGCAAGGACCTGGGCAAGTGAACGTGTATGTGTGTTTTGCTCTTTGCCAGCCCTTGGCACATGCTTATAGGAATGTGAGCTTGGTCCTAGATCATCCCAATTTATAAAACGGTCACCAAGACCTAGGGGCCTTTGCCCCACCTGCATGGAGAACAGAAGGGGAGCCAAGATGAACCTAGGTCAGCCTGAATCCAGACCCCTGTCCTTTA